AGCAATGGAGGAGTGCTCCACAGTGGTTTCCTGAGTTTGTGCTCCCATCAGCAATGGAGGAGTGTTCCTCTTGCTCCACATCATTTGCGTTGCTGCTCTTTGCCATTGTCACAGGTGTAAGATGGAATCTCCCATGTTTGGTGGATAAGAAGGAGTTGTGAGGTGGGGGATGATCATAATCAAAATATACTCTATAAAATTTTAATTTAAAAAATAGTAAACTTAAAATAAAGCAAAAATTTTCATGAGAATCAATAGCAGATGAATATATGACTCATGATTTCTTTCGATTGGAGAATGTCACCTACCCATACAATGTACGTTGGCCATATCCTTTCCCTACTCCCCACTACAGCTCCTCTTATATTTTTTCCATGTCCTCCTCCCAGCTCCATGGCCTTTTTGTATAATGACCCACTAAGGCCAATTAGTGTTGCTCATACACACAGGGGTGTGAGTGGTCAACCTACCAGAGAGTAAATCCTTTCCATTTTGTTCTGTGGAAATTTCATACACATACACAATAAAATATCATATACACACTTCATTTTACCCCTTCAACCTCCCCCTACCTCAAAACCCTCTCCCTCCAAGCTTTTTGAAGAAGTCCAACCAGTGCTGCCAAGAATGTGTGGGTGTTAAGGAGGTGACCACAGCTTATGAGAGCTCACGAATGTGACGTCCACATCAAGTCTAGAAGACAGCGTGTCACAGCGCGGTTCTCTACCCTTCACGCCTCAGTCGGTGTCTTTTACTGTGAAGAACACCACGGCAAAAGCAACTGGAGAAGGAAAGGGTTAATTTTGTCTCACTACTTGCAGTCCACCATTCAGGGAAATCGGAGCAAACTCAAGGCAGGAACCTGGAAGCAGGAACTGAAGCAGATGCCATGGAGAATTGCTGCTTACTGGCTTGCTCTCCATGCCCTTCTCAGCGTGCTTCCTTATAGCACCCATGACCACCTTCCGCAGAGTGACACCCAGCGATCTGGACCCTCCCACATCAATCACCAATCAAGGAAATGATCCTCAGCTTTAGACAACAGGACCCACTAATTCGCCATGTCTAAGTCTGTCTCCTGACTGAAGAGATGGCTCAGGTTAAGAGAACTTGCTATCCTTGCAGACAATCTGGGTCCTTTTCTTAGCACCCACACTGGGTAGTTCACAACTGCCTATAACTCAAGCTCCAGAGATCTGACACCCTGCTCCGGACTCCACAAGGACCTTACACACCGTTAATGTAAACTCACATGGGCATCCAGACATACACAAAAATAGAAATCATTTTAAATCTTGAAAGAGAGAGAGAGAGAAAATGACCCTCAAGTTTGCCCATAGTCTGCTCAGTATTCTCCCAACTCAGAATTCTCCCTTCCAAAATTACTCCAGCTATGACAAAGTGACGTAAAAGTAGCCCACATGCTCTATTTCCTTCCTTTCTGCCTTCTTTTCCTGAGTGCAGGCAGGAATGAGGTTGATAGTAACAAGCACTCAGCCTCTTATTCCCAGAATTCTGACAGTTTAGCATCTACTGCATTGACTGCTGCTCTCTGCAAAAGGAAGTCCCTCTGGGCACTACTGTTATTGGTGGCTAACCATTTTCTGACTGGATTTTGAAGCCTCCTCCACAGAACGAATGCCATGTCTGGTATTGTAACCACAGTCAAAAGCCCGTGACTGGGGAGCTCACAGGCCCCAGGGAAGAGCCTACTGTTATTACTATATGCTATTATTAATGTGAGCTATGTTTCAACAAAAAACTTACGCACACGCGCGCG